CCCTGATCTAGAGTAACCAAAGCTTTGTGTTTTTCTCTAGTGAGAGGCCTAGCCTTATAGCTTGAAATTTAGTGAGACTGAGATGGAGGGGAGGCAGCCTGCCTTGGGGGGAACTACCAAGACATCTTAGCTGTGTGACCCTGAGCACATGACTTCACCTCTCTGAGCTTGTGTTCTTGCTTTGCAAAATGGGGACAATGATGTCTGCCTGGTAGAGTTATTGTGAAGATGAGACAGTGCCTATAGAGTTTAATACTTAGTAGGTGCACAGAGAATGGTAACTGTCATTATTGGGGGTGGCCATCTGAACCCTTATGGCACTACTGAACCACCAAGTCTGAAGGTCCTCCAATGAGTTGGGAACAGTCTTTTGGGAGAAAAAAGACTGCACCAGGCTCCCCGTACCCCACCTCCAGGGCAGCAAGCTCCTCTTTAGTCACCTAGACAGCTGAGGCTCATGGTGGCTCGCACACTTTCACCAGCTCTCTACCCAAAGACTAGCCTTTCCACTGGCGGACGGCGCTGTTGGAAGGTGCCACCACTCCCCTGTGTGCTAAGATAGAATTCAGCAAACAGGCACCGAGTGAGAGCCCCGGGCTGGGATTGGGAGTGCTGGAATGAAACCCCTCTTTTTATGGCTCCATCTGGAACCTGTGGGCGGCCGACTGGAGTCAGTGGTTTGCAGACCTTGTTTTTAAACTGGTGCAGCCTTAAGGTCTGAAATGGAAAACAGATCAACTTGGAGTTAGCTGGGGCTAATTCTAAATGTAGCCAAATCCGAAAGCTCTGGGGCTCCTGATGTCCAAATCATGGGGAGAGTGTAATGCTTTTCTCTCCCATAGATGGCAGCATCTGTACTCCTTGCAGGCTCTGTGTGTGCATGTGTGTGTGCNCTCTCCCATAGATGGCAGCATCTGTACTCCTTGCAGGCTCTGTGTGTGCATGTGTGTGTGCGCATGGGTTACACATGAATGCATGCATGTGATTCACTAGTTTTTTCCTTTGGCAAATCTTGAGCTGTGGTGGCCCCAGCCCTAGGCTCTGGGATACATGGGAGCAGGTAGATCTTAGTCTAGTGGGGGAAGCTGACTTGGAAATAGACCATTACAGTACAGTGTGATAGGGAAGACTGGGATCTGTGGGGACTCAGAGGAAACAGTGTGCAAAGATTATATGGAAGGCTCAAGGAACAGAGTACAGTTGCATCTGGCAGGAGCCTGGCAGGGTGTGGGTGGGAGGCAGGAATTGATGAGAGCTGAAGCTCAAGGGGCCGCTCGGGGCAGATCACGAAGGACGTTGAAGGTTCCTTAAGGATCTAGGATTTTATCTGAGGGTGATGGAGAGCCATGGTAGAGTCTGAGCAGAGGAGTGACATGGCCTGGGCTTGCTCTGAGAAGACTGCATTGTAGAGGAGAGAGAGGACCAGTTAGGAAGCTATTGCTGTCACCCAGGTGAGAGGTGATGGTGCAATAGACCGAGTTGTTGGCTGTGTGGGTGGGGAGAACAGGGTACATTTGGGAAGGGGTGGGGGGTTGAACAGGCTGGACATGGTGATTCGTTGGGAGTGAGAGTGATAGAGCAGGCGGCATTGAGGAGGGTGATGCCCTGGTGTCTGGCCTGGCCCATTGTGTGGAGGGAGGATGGGGCAGTCTGCTGAGATGGGGAGCACTGGGCAGCAGCAGCTTGCAGCACCCCACGTGAGGATGAGAGCGTGATTTGGGGTGTGTAGAAGAGAATGGGGGCTGGATTTAAAAGGCTTGGGCCGAGCCCGTGGCGCACTTGGGAGAGTGCGACACTGGGAGCGCAGTGACGCTCCCGCCGCGGGTTCGGATCCTATATAGGAATGGCCGGTGC